AAAAAAAAAACGCCACGAGAAAATGTTACACGATTAAGATACGTATAAATTCTATACTGAAAAACGAAGTATGAGAAATCATAAAATAAAATTTAAAGAGAAAATGTCGCTCTCAATTATATGTCAAAGAAGATCGCGAAATTCAACGAAATTGAACATTTTCAACTTCAATATTTGAAAATCTTTTGCATATATTTTTACGAAATTTAAACGTAATTTATAATTTGAATTGATATTTGCAATTTTGAACTTTCTAAATTTTTTAAAGTTTCTATCAAATTTTAAACTTTTTTGTTTTTGTGAATTCTTTATCAAGTATTGAAAACGAACAATTTGGGAATGACGACCGGTGAATCACGATGGCTCAGTGAACGTTCAGTACGATCGTTGGTAGCTGATTGGATACCATGTAATACATCAGTTGCTGCATAAAAATCTTCACTTTTTGTTGCAATTAAGGATAAATCAGCACCAATACCGCTATCTACCGGAGAAGGCATTTCTACCGCGGTTTTATATACCCGCGTTTCTGGTTGTTGTTGTTGCTGTTGTTGTTGCTGTTGCTGTTGCTGTGGTTGTTGTTGCTGAGGTTGTGGTACCTCTTGGGGATACTGTAGGGCACTGGCTCGCTGCTGCTGTTGCTGATATTGTTGATAGTGTTCCATAGGACGTTGCCATTCGTGAGCCGTTACGGCACCTTGGAATACGGTCGGATAGTAAAGTGGTGTAGCACTAGAAGGAGCCGTAATAATGGACGTTTGACCTTGCGCAAGTCCAATAGCCGCATAGTCGGTGTATACTCGACTATAGCTAGGCATAGAATAATACTGCTCGATAGGTTGCATTTTACTTAGATCTTGTAAACTTGGTTGGCTAAGTGGTGCCAAATCAATTGGTTCACTTTTTGGTGAAAAATCATGTTGCTGCTGTTGTTGTTGTTGTTGCTGCTGTCCACGACCTATAAAATTAGCAGACAATAAATTTCAAATTGTTTTTTTTTTACTATTTTTTTTCTTTTTTTTGTCAAATTGATGATAAAATAAGTAAATATAATTTTTCAAAATAAATGAATATTTACAGATGTAACTGGATATTTTATCTATTTACATAACAATAGATGTATAATAGTGTACATTTAAATGAAATCTACTCAACAAACAAGATAATAAAATGTATGACTGGAATATATATTTGTCCTATTGAATTAGTAAATAATTATTTGTACTACAGGAAAACTTCATATTAAAGGTACTACTTCTTGGGTAACTATCTTTAAAAATGTATACAAATTTTCTCAAGAAAGAGTAGCAGCAATTTTTTTTTCTCCCTTTTTTTTCCTTCAGCCAAAGAAGTGCCAATTTGTCATCAATAATTTTGCTTTGGACCTGGAGGGGCAGTCTTGATAACAGATGATGAATCCAAGTGGAACTGTTGCTGTTGCTGGGACTGCGACGAAGACATCGTCGCCGTAGCGCGGACTGATGATTGCGAATCGAACGACTCCAATTTCATTCCTTGTAGGACCTAGGAAATGAATGATCGTGAGCGAATATTTCATTTCAAAAATTATTTATGTCTTCAAAAATTTCATTTATACATATGCATATATTTCACTTAC